GGGGGGGGATCTACGTTGGAACTGTAGAATGTGGTCTGAATTGGTCTTGTTGGGGTTAAGCTCTTGGAAAAGAGGACGATTCGAGCAGCCGCGACACAAGATTCCTGGTAGGGCTCTGGCGCGCGGACTCATTGGTTGCTATTTGGGATGTGCTCCTCATGAGCTCTGCAGTGAACTGTACAGTCTGAGCAGGAATCTGCAAAGACTCGTCGCGAATGCCAGCCCGGAATGAAGCAAAGATGTGATGATATAACTCTATCGGAGGAGGGATTGACGTCCCCTGAAGACCATAACGACCGTCGAGGATCGGTGTGACGCCGCCTTGGTGGATAAAATAGTTCCTTGATCTACAACTTTGGGATGGAGTCATGCCACTACGGACATTTTTGACTGCGACGTCGTGCTCTGCGTATGCATGACGAGCCCGAGCATGTTGCAGGACAGTAAGATCGACGTACTTTTATTTAGCTCCCCGACGATATCATGTTGCTCTGTGAGCTCACAATGCGTTTCTTCTGTCAACGGCTCCATCCGTTTGAGAGGCGTAATATGAGCAACAAGAGCGGTCAGTGCCACATGTACGATGTTTATCGCTCATGGGCAACACGTCGCAGACTAATTCCGCGTCTGTTAATTCGTCACAAAACATGTCTAGTCGATTATCGTTATCCACCAGACGACCCCGTAGGTCAGCAGCCCCTCCATGCTTCGGATTTAGGTGTTCGCGTGGCTTGCGGAGCATGAGTAAATAGCGACGATAGCAGTAGAGACGACAATACCTTCCACAGCGATACACAGTACTGAGGGATCTGGTTTTCGGCAGCAAATGTTTTCCTTAGACGAAGACACGAAGCGTCATCTGTGACTTCCACGTCGGCAGTGCTTTCAGAGACAGCACCGTCCTCATAGAAGTAGATGGAGATTTGTAGTGAAATGGCCATGAGCGTGAAGCTGGAGTTGGAGTTGGACCTTGGTGATGGTGGGGCGAGAAGCCTGACTAGTCACGTCACATGTATTGTGACTTTGTGTGACAGCCGTGCAAATTGGCTAAACCAACAGAAACTAACCATCTGCTTCGTTTGCTCAACTCGTTTGTATCCCTTCCTGTGACCGGCAGGTAATATCAGCGGGCTAAATATTTGAAGTACTTACACCTGTACTTACTCCCAAAGTGTTGGAGATATCGCGGGAAGCTGCGAGAAGATGGTCGAGACTCGAAGGTTCAAGTCGGCATAATGCCGGATGACCTTTAGACCAATACTTACTTAATATGGATGCTAGAGAACATTCTAGATAGTTTTCGTAGTATAGATACAGGCTCTGTAGGAGCCAGAGAGTGCAAGTTTATTAGTCTGGCTTTACCAGCCTACTAGTCTACCCCACTGTGAATCCACCGTTCCCAACAGAAAGCTCACATGCAAAGACACCTGTAAAACACAACCAGTCATTTCTTGTTCTGATCTGTAATTTGGCCCACAGTGTTTCCGAGTCAGGACATTAGACCTAGTAAAACACGGAGTATGTTCTCATGCATCATTTTCCAGATATCACACGTGTGAAAACACCCACAGACTACTGGTAAAGTCTGCTTGGGACTGAAACCATCGTTCAAAGACACAATAGCATCTCTATCGGTGAGGCCCAATGTTTGTTCCGTACCATAGCATGGTGAGTTAGGTGAATAACGCACGTGTAGTACTGGACTCTGATTATTTACCTTCTTAGAGACAGCGATCAGAGAGAAACATCTTCCTCGTCTTAAGACTATGATTTCATGACATTTCAGCATGACATGCAGATGATGGATGTGATTCAAGGCCGATTCAAGGCTAAGTAGTGGGGCGATCGGAGGGTGACTTCCGACCTTCTTCCATCTCTTTCCGTCGATTCTGACGGACACGTTTGTAAACACAGACCGGATGCTTTGCATCTTACTTGACGAGAAAATCTCTTCAGACGGAACATTACCCTGCTGCTTTAGGGAAAACGAAGGGATCTCTGTTCCCGTAGCACATATCCACTGTGCTGTTATTACCGATTGCGTCATTATCTTTGTAGCCGACGAACAGAGATCTGCCAAGTCAATCTCCACCTCCATATTCGAACTAGCTGTCCCGGCAGTTTTTGGGGATTGCATAACCACTCATCCCGTCTAGGTAGATACGGAACCAGTTTTCCTGTACAGGTCGTTCAACGGATGCACAAACTACATTCTGCCGCAGTGCGGGACTCCGATTCTAACCTTCGAACTACTTGGATAGCCGGCTGTCGCTCCTGGTTCGTAAACATTTCTCTCTGAGTCAATGTTTGCTGCTTCATGCCACAAGTCTTTAACTACTAAGTGTTGGTTGATCTAAGAGCTCGTTCTATGTAAAATGAATAGCTCAGGGAGAGGAACTATTCAATTGGCACATACCTACGATTTGATTACAGAACGAGAGAACCCGATGACCGAGTTGTATTAATGGTTCTGTAAGGTCTGACGTATGTACAATACGAAAGTCGGTCGCCAAGTTTCGAGGACTTGAAACTCCTCATGAGTACTGGTAAGCACAGCTTGGAAGACAGAATTCTGTGGATTCAATATTGTCGTATTCACGAACGACCGTCTCGAGGAAACCGAATGGTGTAGTGTTTAGTACATTATCTTGACGCGCTTAAGAGGGATGCCGTGATGCTGCGATCTCCGCAATTTTGCCGGCTTCTTCGGTCCGTCATCACTTCCAAGCCAACGACGACTTCCGTTTCCCACTTCTTTCACCAGAAAGGACTCTTTATCTTCACGATATTTTGCGGACCGATCCTCAGCTTTATTCTAACTTCATTTATTCAATCACCGAAATATGAACGTTACATTCAACTATGCGCACCTTGTGTTGCCTCCTGCAACGAAGTTTGAGAAGTTCAAGGCAATGGGATCCGACCCACGACTTCTCCAAGTTCATCATCAAGCCTCAGGGAGCACATGTCAGCCCCCCCGGGATAAACCATACCAAAAACGGATGATATCAATATTTCCGACTCGGAGGACCCCAATCTCCTGGAGAACCACGAAGAAGTGTACGTGTACACGGGCCCAATTGCCGGCCATAAAGCAACTCGAACAGCCTTACTGCTCTAGCTGTTCTAAACGAGCCCCTGTGAGGGTCAGCCGTCGAATCTTCAATTTGGTGATATTACCGTCCGAGTCGCACCGGCTGACGTTGGTATATAAAGGACGACCGGACACTTTCATTTACCCTGAGTCATCCTTCATGTCTCCCATCGACGGCCCAGCGCTCCCGCCAGAAATTATCGATGCTATCATTGACCAGGTGCATTTCCTTGGACCCGTTTCGCGTGTCAAGGACCAGGAAAGATACCACGACCGAAGGGATACCCTGGGAGCCTGCTCTCTTGCCTCCCGATCTTGGCTTGCCCGTAGCCGCTTCTACCTCTTCGAGACCGTCTTCCTCCCCCCGAACGATTTCCCCCGATGCAATGCCTTTGTCGCCATGCTGGCCGACCCATTGTGCACCATCACGCCGTACGTTCGGACTCTCGTCATCCGCGAAGCATACAGCCTGAGCGGGCTGGGAACATTATGGCTCAACGACGCTCTGCCCCATCTCTCGCTCCTCACCAACGTCAAAACGCTCTCAATCACCGGGGCGCGTTTCGACAGAATGCGCCCGGACGCCTGGTCCGAGTCAGGCATCCCGTTCTTCGCGAACATGAAGGGCATGAAGCAGCTCCAGCTCTTGTCGTGCCAGTTCCGGACCCCAGATCAGTGCCTTGATGCGCTGTCGGTGTGTGACGGTCCTCGAGGAGCTCACCCTGCGCCGCACGTCGCTGGATATGGACTTGCTTTTAGGTCTGCACATCCGTTTGGGCCCGCTACCCGTGCCTCCGCCCCGTCTTACCAAACTCAAACTTGACAGCCATCGTTTGGGGAACTATGATGCTGTTTTGAGGTGGCTAGCAACAACCCCGACGATAACGGAACTTGTTCTTGAACGTATCACCGATACGGAAACTCTCGCCGTGGCGGATTTCGTGGACAAGCTAGGTCCTTGCCTCGAGGTGCTGGATCTGAATGTTGTTGATATCAATGAGGAAACGGCCACACAAGGTGAGTAAAATTATTCAGGTATAATCATTGCTGAACGAGATGTAGATGCTTTTTGTCGATATCTTAATCTGTGCAACAACACGCGTCTGCGTTCTCTCGCGTTCGACCAGCTTATCCTAGCCGAGCCATACCAGGCCCGCCTCACCGCCTCGAAACATGTACCAGATGTTATCAGCAAGGTCTCATCCGAGATCAAAGAACTCACTCTCCGTGTGCAGATCAACAGCACAGACGACCTTGATCTCATCGATTGGGATATTATCATCCACACCATCAATTCTCAGCGCAATTGGGAGTCTTTGGAGAGCATCGTGGTTTCTGGTCCGAGGAAGGAGATTCTTGCAGAGTCGGAACTTTGGATGAAGAAGAGGCTGCAGGGACTGAAGGGGAAAGTCAACGTACGGTGCACCCTTCTCCCTACGGTCATGGTAGGAACACTAGCGTTCGTTTGGGAGTCGCCACAGCTGATGCGCATGCGTTTTTCTTAGGTCATGGGGGCGTAGGTTCTATTAGCTATGTATTCTAGACACGAACATAGTAATGCGTATTTATACACATATCTGGGGGAAAATCCACCGCGAAGAGCGCGGTACGACTTTTAGCATCCTTTAATCAAAAGAGGGCCGTTGCTATTCATCGGCGAGCTATAGCTATGGGCTCAGTTTAACGCAAACCCTCTACCTTGAAGCTGCGTTTAGATACGAAACAGGGAGTGAGAAATCTAGAAAGCGAAATTGATTGTCTACCTCCAGAAACTTCTGCTATTCATAAAACAGTGTAAGCTAATCGATAGTCACTCAGACTTCATTGTAGCGATGAGGCCGTGCATTCGATCCCACAGAATCAAATGTTTCCATCCTTGGATTTATGGCTTTCGTCGGATCAATGTCCGATCTTAGCTCAGTTGGAAGAGCGTGGGACTGTAATCGGCTAAAGTACATTTGCATAAGTGTTCGATCCGCACAGATCGGAATGAGAGGTTCTCCTTACTACTTTTATGACTTTTGTCAGATCATTTGAGCACTGAGCAGTTATTCGTCTGGTTCTGGCCTCTACGTAAACCCGAGATCCTGAGAGTGCATGACGCACAGGTTCAATTCCCAGAGAAAACGCCTTTGGGAGGTTTAGTAGATATTACATAAAAGTCAAGTCCCACACTGTTCGGCACTCATGCCGTTCGTGCGTATATGCATCGCTACCCTGTCAGAGTTCTTCAACGGGGTTATCATCCCCGTCTCGTCTATGGCCTGCTATTCAACGGTGTTGTCGTGCCGAACTACCTCTGGTAAGGTAGATGGGCTGCCACTGGAAGGCGTGTCTAACAGGAGATACTTTCCACAAAAAAAAACAAAATCGCGGTGGTCGATGCCGGGCCGAAATCTGCCGTAGTCGCGAAAGTTAGATCACGTGCCACTGTTGATGCATGAGAAATTTAGTCAACAATCAACAACACGCTTCTTTCTTTGGAACCACCACGGTGCAGCCACTTTCGCGTTTTCAAAGGTTGGTGCCGCTCTCATTTTCCCACTTCCCCAGGTTCTGACCTAAATTGTCACCAGATACGTCTCGGGCGCGACATTTGCGATATCATTTTCAGTGCATTTTTCTTGTAGCTCCTAAGCAATAACCCAGGCTGTGAGACTCTTTATGATATTCCGATGAAATGTGCTGACAGGAGGTATGGTCTTTGAAGGGCATTAGTTGTCATTGTGTCCACCTTTATCTACAACCTGTTAAATTATGGCGCCTGCCGCAAAGTCTGGCGGAAAGTCAAGGTCAGGTGGAGGTGGAGCTCCAGGAGGACCCAACCAGCCAAAGAATGTGCAGACTAGGAGTCAGAGAGCTGGATTGCAGGTGTGTATATATCACCTCTTGATGAGCTTTATGACGTCGCTCATACCTATATCAGTTCCCGGTAGGCCGAATTCATCGTTACCTGAAACAACGTACCCAACACAATGTCCGAATCGGTGCCAAGGCTGCGGTTTACACTTCTGCCATCTTGGAGTACCTTACTGCTGAAGTTCTAGAACTTGCAGGTACGGGTCTAAATCTTTGACGTCGGTTTTTTTTCATGATGGATGAAACATTAATTCATTGTAGGTAATGCATCAAAAGATTTGCGGGTGAAGCGAATTACTCCTCGTCATCTGCAGCTTGCCATTCGTGGTGATGAAGAGCTGGATACGCTTGTGAAGGCTACTATCGCTGGAGGAGGTGTTCTGCCGTTTATTCACAAGAGTCTTACTTCAAATCCGAAGGCTATCAAGAAAGGTACGGAACCGCCGCCTGCTGCCTAGGACTGCAGTTCACTTGTTCGCTATTGGATTCTTATCGTATGTGTGTTCTTGTGTTTCCATGGCACTGGTACTTAGTATGTAGTTTGTGTACTCATTTATATATGCTGTTATGTATGTAGCATTAAAACAATTTGGTTTGCGATGTGATGTGATATTCATGAGTCTCGGAGCCTTGACGAGGACCATTCATTTAGCGCCATTCAGCAAGATCGTGCGCTGTGGCGCTCCGCGATGGATTGAATATGTCAAAGCATTAAATCACCGGGTAATAGTCAGCTGTTTTTGAACGGCGAACAGAATATTGAACATATAGAAAAATTTGGTGCGAGTAAAGAAGACGGCAACGAACAAGGAATTCTAATAAATTGTTTGATGCCTTTCAAACGTCTCTGATGATGGTACAAGCTGTGGTGCAGTGTGCAACTCCGCTGGTCATAAGAAACGAGTAGTTGACAACAAGAACGGCACGTCGATGTAGAGAGAGGACTATTCGGGATGTTTAGACACATGTTTCCGGACCGCTACTACTGGCACCGTACCTCAAGTCGCAATGTGCACTGGAATATATTCGGGCGCGCAATTAAAAAAATCATGAGGAGCCAGTCGGGCTTCGGGCCAAGGGAAAAAAAGGCCAGCGTTGCAGTGAACGAATATAAATAGTCCCAGATTTAACGTTCAAAAGTCATGCAGCTGCCACCAAAAAGAAAGAGAACGTTATTGCTCGGATGGAAGGCTGATAAGTACCTCTCACGGTTCGGTCCCGGGGCGGGTATATGGTCGTTAGGCCGCCTCGAAGAAAACTTCAGAACCTGAGCGTAATACAGTGCAGCGCCAGCCGAGATAGTGTACCTTACTGGATAGGGTCAGCAGTTGTCCCGGGCGCAAGGAGCACAGTTTTGAACTTGAAACCGAAACAAAAAGTATTCTATAAACGGGGCCGCAGTCGAATAGAACCGTGGTCAGAAGTTAGATAGAGTTCCCTTCCCAGAGTAAGCCGCCGTAGCCATAAAACACAGAACAAGTCCAGGACAACAAGGAAAATCCTTATTGATGAAACCATATGATGCGTTTGGCGGTATTAGCAACGCTGACGTTATGCAATGCCTGGGCTTCGCAATGGACTGATTGTATAGAAAAGATACAGTCTGCCAGCCGAAAAAGTGGATGCTTTGAATGATTGCGGCCCCCGCCACTGTCGTGTAAAATGTAACCAGAGTGATTCTATAGAGTGAAATTTCAAGTGATTCCCTGTTGATTTTTAAAAGCGAAAAGAAGGGGGGGAAACGAGAGCATTCGGGGGAGAAGGATTTTGTGCCCTGTGAAGGTACACAAGTGAGCCGGTTGTCAAGCAGGCACAAGCACGTGTCTGGTTCAAAGCTCTTTCTGTTCGACTGCCACCACTTGCCTTCTTCGTCATCGTCCTCAGCGTCAACGACGTCCTCTCTCCAACGATGGCGCCGTCGTCGAGCCTCAAAATTCCTGCCATGGACGCCACTGCGGGCCCTTCACGCCAGCAGTACCCCGCCGGAAGCTCCCGCCCTGTATCGGTAAACGTCCAATCCTCAGCTTCGACAGCGGCACCATCATCAGCGGCCAGAAAACAGCGAGCATCACACTCTGTCGTCTCTTCCTCCTCTGCCCAGAATCACCAGGCATCGTCGAGCGGCCACCACCCCAACGGCGGGCATGCCCAGGACGACGGGCAGCCTCCTTACACCGACGTTTATTCTCATCCGGCAGCAGTGGCTTATGCGGCGGCTCATCCACGGCGACCTATTCCAAAGTTTGGCCCGTACCTGCTCCTGCAGACTCTCGGCGAGGGTGAATTCGGTAAAGTCAAACTTGGCCTTCATAGCCAGTGGGGAGAGGAAGTGGCTGTGAAGCTCATTCGACGCGGCAATGTTGACACTACTGTGCGCATGTCCAAGGTAGAACGTGAAATAGAGGTCCTAAGGGTAAGTCCATACATTTCTCTCTCCCCTTTCAGCCACTTATCAACCTTTCGTAGACCCTCAAGCACCCCAACATCGTGCGCTTGTACGATGTCATCGAAACTGACAAATACATCGGTATCATTATTGAATATGCTTCCGGAGGCGAACTCTTCGACCACATCCTTGCCCACCGCTACCTGCGTGAAAGAGACGCCGCCAAACTCTTTTCCCAGCTCATATCTGGCGTCTGGTACATCCATCAGAAAAAAATCGTTCATCGAGACCTCAAGCTCGAGAATCTTCTGCTCGACAGGCATCGCAATGTAATCATCACCGACTTTGGTTTTGCAAACCGTTTTGAGCAACGTCCGGATGATCTCATGCAGACGTCCTGCGGGTCTCCGTGTTATGCCGCTCCTGAACTGGTCATTAGTGAAGGGCTCTATGCCGGTAGCGCCGTGGACATTTGGAGCTGCGGTGTTATTCTCTATGCAATGCTTGCTGGGTATCTCCCTTTCGACGATGACCCCGACAATCCCGATGGCGACAACATCAACCTTTTGTACAAATATATCGTTAACACTACCTTATTGTTTCCCGAATATGTTTCCCAGGAAGCTCGTGGCCTCCTCTCCCTCATGCTAGTGCCGGACCCCGCTTACCGTGCTAGTCTCGATCAAGTTATGGCTCACCCATGGCTAGCTGCATACAATAGCACACCGACCGACCCGAGCTTATCTGTTCCCCGTGCGTTTGGCCGAACCGTAGAAGAATTGGAGCGTGCCGCGATGGAGCAACATCACCAAAAACGACTTGCTTACCAACGGCAGATGAAAGCTGCTGCGGTCACCTCCGGTTCGGGCCCTCCGGATAGGATAGGCAGAAGTCATAGTCATCGTCCTGCAGGCTATGAAAACGGGGCCACCTCCGCGTCAGCCAGTAAACCCTCCCGGAGTCATTCGATACAACCTGGCCTCGTCTATGAGACGCCTGTGGATCAGAGTAGTGGATACTCAGGCCCGTCATCACCACCGATGTCGGCGCCCGTTTCAGGAAACGGCGGACGTTACGAGGGCATGGATAGCGAAGATCCGTTTGCCGCCCCCAACGCCGTGGTTCCGGTCGAAAACGCTAGCAAGCCCAGTGGCAGCGGAAGAAAGAATGCTGCGAGGCCTCACACTGTTCAAGTTGAGTATGATGGTCCTCGAGATCGGCCTGCGAGGAAGGAGCGGGGCAGGGAGCCTCAAGAAGAGAGTGCTCGAGAGCGTGACAGGGGGAAGCAGAGAGAGCATTCGACTTCCCGTGGCCAGGCTCAGATGCAGCCTTCTTCGTCCAACAGTCAGAGTTCAGAGAAACGGCGGCCTTCTCAGAACAACGGAGCGAAGCCTTTACCTCCATCGCCCTCTGCACCTTCACCTCCTCGTCGTGAACGTACAGGCAGCAGGGCTGCCCCGGTACGCGACCATGCGGAGCCAGGACACCCGAATATCGCTGTGGCCAGTCCTCCCGAGACACCTCTTGCCTTTGCTTCTCTGGAAGGCGGCGCTGATGATCGGGATGAGGAATCCTCTTCAAGAGGAAGCGGCAAGCACAAGCGTGGTGTGTCAACAGTCGGTGGTCTAACTAAGATATTTGGCAACGACCACAATGTCAATGGAGTATCCGCCTCCAACGCTTCCAATACTTCTGGCTCGCTACTCACCCCCGCTCCCAGCGACAAGGAAAAGGACACTGTATC